TGCCCGGACACACTGTATAGAGAAAACTGAAATAGCAGAAATGTCTATTGAATACATAATAGAAGTATGCATAGAGTTACCCAAAGAAAATATATTATTGATAGTTATTTATTAAAATAGGAGAGAGGAAGAAATATTTTATGAACAATTGAAAAAAATATTAATATACAGGGTGTTTCTTGTAAGGTGTCAAGCCGAAGGCAGGTGATAGGTGAGGACTAGACCTATCGATTTCACCCCCATGTATGTTTTACGATATTTCATAGTTTAGAAGTTATCGTTAATTTTGTGATTTTTTCAAATTGTATGACCTAGTAGGCTTTAAATTTTTTTATCTTTTTTTTGGGTCGACTTTTCTCATATTTCTTTTTTTTGACAGATTCCCTCNCTATTAATAAAATGTGTATCCTTCCCATAGATTATTAAGTAACAAGCCATTTTAAAACTGTTAAATAATTTTTAACCATAGGTTTTTAAGCAAATGTTGACTTGTAGTTATGACATGCGAATTTTATTAAATATTTATGTCAATTTTGAGTCTGTAAACTGTGATAACTAAGTAGTAATATGTATAGGGTGTTACTTAAACTTAAGAATAAAGATTTAATTAAGATATAACTTCAATTGTATCATGCAAGTCATTAATAATGTAACTTCATGACTATTAATGTAACTGCATAGCTATTTTTGTAACCTTTTGCCCGGGAGAATGTCCACATCCGTAGATGTAAACACGGCTTAATTTCATACCGAATGTGTCTAATGTGTCTATGCCTTATTTTTATGGTTAATGTTGGCAACACTAACAATGATATCGCTCTTCCTCATCACGCTCTCACCAACTCGTACTGGTTTTTGTAAATATTGTGTTTTTATAAATAAAAGTCAAGATTAAAGTACAAAATCTTATTATTTGTATGTTCCACGAACATGCTTGATGAAGAATCTGAAAGTGTAAACACTTAAAAGTTTTTCCTCAAGCATAATGTAGGTAGCGTTTGTTATCTTGAAAGGTTCAACCGTATAAATAATTGTTATAAGATCGTATTAATATCAGTCAATACTTTTTGCAAAAAATACATGTCAATGGGGAAAATATATTAATTGATTAAACCCTTTCCAAAGAGAAAATAACTTTTATCAGGGCACGCACTGCGACCACATTAATGGGATTTCCACATAAGTTAATTTTTAACTTGATAACTTAACATTATAATTAATATTGTATAATTATTATTAAAATAGGTACCTACTTATGTATTTTCAGCTTAGAAATATTTATGCTTGCCTGATGATGGGTTGGGTTATGGGTTAAAACTTCTAATATCTCGAAAGGATTATTCTTATAAATAATTGTTATGTCATAGTATTTACAGCCAATACTTTTGATGAAAAAAAAATACATACAGTTCCATAGGTTAATTCCATAGGGAAAACATATTAATTGAATAACAACTTTATAAAGAGAAAATAGCTTTTATCAGAGTATGGAATTTCCATGTAAGATAATTTTTAACTTGATAACATAACATAATTAAATTGTGTAATAACCGTGTATCCGGTTAGAAATTAGGTTGGAGATAACCAGTCGGAGTTTCCTCAATATCTAAATTTTTACTTTGATGAGTACTTACCTACTAGAGCGATTTTTCACGATGTTCGATCTTTTAATCCTTAAAAATAGTAAAATTCTGACCGGAGTAGTCATAGAACTATTTGTATGGTAGTTTACGCACTAAGTCCTATTTCCGTTAACCCATTTCTTCTAGTCAGTTTTCTAGATCCATATTTTGACGGATTCGCATCGGACGTAGTGCGAAACCGCTCTTATACTATGTTATCAGTGCTTACAATAACACTCGTATTACTTGTACTAATTGCACGGTACCTTTACCGTGAATATTTATTTAATCGGGTGAACTAGTTACGTTTGTTGACAAACAGATAAGAATTAGAACACGATGTATGTCATTCGTATATTTCTGGATCATAAAATATCCCCAAATGATATACCTACTTTTCTTTTTCAAATCTTTTAAATCAGAAGTCAGTGCCACAGTTGTTGTTTTCGAAAGCATCAACAACAAATGTATTTCCTTTTAGTTAAATTAACCGCTAAAGCAGGAAAAAATACTGTCGTGGAAAGCCCGCCTCATCACAATAACAATTTACTATAAATATAAAATCATTTTCCTTAGGATGCCAACAATGAGTATAAATAATTATGTAAACAATCAAAGGAGATAAGCCGCCATTAATACATTGCCTACTAAAAGGTCGTTCTGCCGTTAGGTCCGCTACAAAAACAATGTGCAACAAGTGAATTCAGTAACTTATTGACGTGCGTATAAAATAAAGAAATTATCAAATTGTGGTTAGTTTAGTTACCTACGTTCGTTTTAACACTAAATAAAAGTAGTCAAAATAGGTAAAATACAAGATATAACACCATAATTTTTGACATCTTTTTTTACAAAGTTTTAAAGACAAAATTATTAAAGAGAAAATATAATTTGACTCTATTCTATCAATTAACTCTAGAGGGAAATAAATGAACTGTCTTTTAGTTACAGTTATACTTATAGTAACTAGGAATGGAGTCCAAAGCTGAGCTTATTTTAGGGAGGAAACCAATACATACCCTATATTATCAGTGACGTGTCGGTATGCAGGCGGCGCTGTTTATTATAGATAACCGAACACAATTGCCGATAAGGGTTTCGCGTCTTCAAAACATCCTGTTGTACATTGTAATTGTGTTATCAACGTCATCGACACTTTTTGTAGGGTTTCTTTTGTTTCTTTTTGCCCGAAACCACCTACTTTTTATATGTTTTCTGCTCTGAAGTCGACACCTACAAAAATATACTCTTAAAAATTCTTTGAATGCATATTCAACAAATTAGTTATATTTAGTCAAAGTATTCAGTTTCACTTATTACAATTAAATGATCAAACGAACTTACCAAGTGAAGTTCGATCTCAATTATCCTGTTTTCGCCGAAGAGATTTATATTACCGTGTAGTACCCCTGTACGACAAGCCAATCCGCACACAATATTCAGCGTAGTAGTAGTAAAAAACAAAAGAGCGGGCAACCCCACCCCTACCACGCTGTGGGATCGGTGTCCGAGCGGTCTCATTATATTTAGAGAAGAGATGACATTGACGTTTGCCTCTAGGGAAGAAGATATAGAAATCTTCGGGTTGGGAGGGACCTTAAATCTCTTCGGCGAAAACAGGATAATTGAGATCGAACTTCACTTGGTAAGTTCGTTTGATCATTTAATTATCCTGCTTTCTCCTCCGAGATTTATTTTACCGTGTAGATGTTTAGAGCATGGATCAATGTCCATGTTAAATGGTTAAGAGAGTAAATGTCAATGTACTAAATACATAATAAAGCAATATTTTTGTATTATAATCGTATTGCATCACTTATTCATAACAATAACAAGTATCACGGTCTCAACAAGATTTTGTTCATTATAGAGTATTATTATATACATTTATTTGTACTTCTATTAACTGTTAANTTCATACACCAAACACTACTTATATTCCAAATTTGAAGCTTCTAGGTCTGCTAGAAGTGCCTTAGAATTTTGATGATCGGTGAGTCAGTCAGTGAGTCAGTGAGTCAGTGAGTCAGTGAGTGACAAAATTAAGTAACTTTGACCCGTTATAATTCTTAAACTACTGGTTCAAATTGAATGAAATTTTAAATATACCGTGTCTTTACAATGCCTGCATAGCTAATGAAAATTCAGCCTTCACAACGAAGTTACAGGCGGTCGAAAATGGCCTGAATTGCTTCGAGAAAAGGATGGTACGGCCGTGCCGCTTTTTTGCTCGACTTGGTGGGGGCACTGCCGTGCCCCCAGATTTGAATCCTCCCCTAATGATTTCTAGTTTTATTGGTAGCGGCCTGCTTCCAACGCCTTCTGCAACCTTTATAAGTCGTCTTTCCACCTTGTGGGTGCTTGACAATCGTATATTTTCTTAGAAGTGTATAAACCAATAAAACAGTAGGTATTAACCACGATATTACGTGGGATATAAATTAAATACTCCTCAAATTAAATTCATTAACCCTGTAAAGTTAATCCTACTAAAATATGAGGGTAAGCTTTCCAGCTTAGCGGCTGAAAGTTGAGCAATACTATATTTATTCATTTTGCTGTTTCCTACGAATGTATGGCGGTACTAGTTTTATCCTCCACAATTTTAACAGTATTTAAAGCTGTGTGGAAAGTTCAGAAAACTAGTGTTTTAGTTTTTTATTTTAATTACTGTTAACTTTATCATGCGAGTAAATTTTATTTATTCTTATGAATAAATAACATCAAAGTGTCGGCCACTGTTTTTAACTAAAAAGATAAAACACACGTTGCACTAAGCCTAGAATCTATGCTTACGATTGAATCAAGTCTCGATCTTGAGCATCATCTACAATACAGACCACAAAGATGCCACTTAGCAAGTAAAGATTTCTTGATGACCTTGATAATATTATCCTCCATGTGGTAGAAGGATTGGAAAAGCAGTGACCACTGGATGACCAGGGCAGCCAGCAGCCAGTTCAATCCAAGGGCACTGTAGTAGTACTTTAAACTCAAGAACTCTGGCCTTAAAGACGAAAATGGAACTTACCAAGTAAGGCATTCTTAGTGACCCTGATGATATTATCTTCCATATGGTAGAAGGACTGGCACAGCAACGCCTATTGGAAGTACCGGGGCAGCCAGCAGCCAGTACAATCCAAGGGCACTGTAGCAGTACTTTAAACTCAAGAACTCTGGCCTTAAAGACGAAAATGGAACTTACCAAGTAAGGATTTCTTAGTGACCCTGATGATATTATCTTCCATTTGGTAGAAGGATTGGCAAAGCAATGCCCATTGGATGACCAGGGCAGCCAGCAGCCAGTACAATCCAAGAGCGCTGTAGTAGTACTTTAAACTCAAGAACTCTGGCCTTAAAGACGAAAATGGAACTTACCAAGTAAGGATTTCTTAGTGACCCTGATGATATTATCTTCCATATGGTAGAAAGATTGGCACAGCAACGCCCATTGGATGACCAGGGCAGCCAGCAGCCAGTTGAAGCCAAGGGCACTGTAGCAGTACTTTTTGAGGAAGGTCATTAGAAACCCGAAACCGATGAAGATCATCACGTGGGTGTCTTCGAAACCTGGAAAGAAAAATAGGTTTTATTCTGGAACTTCTGTGACATCAGAAAAGATAAGATTCCTTTGCACTTTCCGTAAAAACTGATGTATAGCGATGTTTGTGAATTTTACATTGTTCGATTCTGATCAAATACCTGCCTTGTCTTGCATAAAAAAGAACATCTGGTTAACTTTTTTGAGTAAATGTGTGTGTTCACGATTGCACTTAGAGTAAATATAAATTATTGTATCTTCAAAATAATTTTAGAAATTGCCCATTTTCTTGCTTAAATTCAAATAAAACATTTCCATTTCACACATAAAATACATAAATAAATAAGTGAGAGTAGTTAGCAAATTTAATCCTACTTTTCAAACACAGCAATACCTTTAGATAACGAATATGAAAGGACATCATCCATTTTGGTCCAAAATCAAAAGTGCCGGCCAAAAAATTAAAGTGCTGTATTCTGATAGAATACGTCCGCCTTAGCATTTATTACTATGGCACCAAAGCTGTAGCACCACTGTGCATCGTAGTATTTGAGTTCTAAAAATATATGAAACGACTGACTTTGATCTCAAATACTACGACGCACAGTGGTGCTACAGCTTTGGTGTCATAGTAACAAATGCTAAGGCGGAAGTATTCTGTCAGAATACAGTACTTTTTTTTTATTGGCCGACATTCTTGATTTTGAACAAAAAATGTATGAATCGTCGATGACTTTTAAATCTCAAATACTCGACGCACAGTGGAGCTACGTCTTTGGTGCCATAGTAACAAATGCTAAGGCAGACGTATTCTGTCAGAATACAGCACTTTTTTTTGTTGGCCGACACTTTTGATTTTGGACCAAAAATATATGAAACGTGGATGATGTCCTTTATAAATTTACTAATATTTTACTCAAAATAATTCCCAAACGCTCAACGTTCTTAGAACCCGCCACAAATATGTATATTACAGATATGAGTTGTGAATTTTGTACAGCACTTAAAAAATAAACTTCAATATGAATAATTAATTTATTATGTAAACCGCACTCGAGTTCAGAATTCATTACTGAAAACTTTTTAAGTCGTTAATCTCCAAGATTTTTTCATTAAAAAATACTATTTATTCTTCAAATAATAATAAACAGCCTGTTCACTTTCTGCTGCCTATTTTCACAAATGCTAACAATTTTTAAATATTATGACAAAAATCTACTTTTATAGATATTGAACAATCACGGTATCCGTTATTGTTGACTTTTCAATCAAAAGTAGATGTATTCAAATTACAAGATACACAGCTTGATAACAATGTTATCTGGATGTGTTTATTTAAAAAAAATTACAGTTTCTAAGACGGAATGAAGCAAAGTTCCAGGAACAGTAACTTAGTATTCTTAAAACATTTCTCTAAAATCACGCTTCTTTGACTGTTCTCTACATACATAGTGACATCAATTTAGAAAGAGCTCTTTATTACATAACCCCGAACACACACACATTATGAATATTACAATCCAGCAGGATAATTGAGTGATATTATTCATCATATTGGATTGCCATAATGGCTGTTTTTTCAGGATGTCAAACGAAATGCCGAAAAGGTCATTGTTTTCCCTCCAAACGGCACTCGAGAGTGTAATTCGAACGAAAACATCGTTCTGTTTTCATATAAGTGTTGAGTACGCTATTAGAATTTTCTACGCAGAAATAAATGGTAAATATTTTTATTAAATTTGAGGTCCGAAATGATGGGCTCGGTCTACGAGCTCCGTGAATTATGTATTTACCTGGGATAGATAGGTAAAAATAATAGCGTATGTCAGAACACTTGGGCTTGGCCCAATCGTTTATCGATAATTTTTATCTATAACGTTTGGGCAACACACATCGCGATAGCATTCGGTCGAAGTCCTTGCGACTGTGCATAAAAACACTAAGGTTTACGCGAATACTTGGCTAAGCTCATCGCAATCGCGCGAATCTTTGGATTATCGCGATGTGTGTGGTCTAAGCCTAGGCGCAGACCACCGATTTTTAGTTGGCCGATATTTGTATCGGGCTGTTAATCAGTATGGAGATGTGTGAAAGTGCGCAAATTACACCGATTTGCTATCGACCGATTCTTCATACAAATTAAAATTGGCCACCTAAAATTTAGTTGGCCAATAATAGGGCCCAATTTAGAAACCCTTAACCTAGACGCAGAAACCATTTCTATCGGGCTAATGTGAAAGGCGTTTCTTAACTTGGCAGAGTTACACCGACTTCGAAAGTATCAATCAAGGTTTATAAAATACTTGAGAAATAACGAAACGATTTTTCTACTTTTTAGTGCCCATTTTTAAATTTTCTTTTATATTTGAACATGGCAAAATACACGTATTTTTACGGGAATTCAAAGCGCTGACCTACATAAGAATTATAAAGCACTTTTATAGCTCCCGAAACCATCAACCCGATCCAAGCAGTCACCGCACACGTTCGGAAGGTATTATTTCATTGTTTGCTCGCTTTGGATTCAGTTCGATTGCTTGGAAGCATAGACTTAAATATTTTCTAAGTAGACATCAACTTCGAAAAATATTCTCGTTAACCCTTCATTCGACGGAATTTTTTTTTAGTTAAATTTATAAAACAGTTACTGATTTCGTTTCTTAGCCTGTCTAGGACCCCAGAAAAAATACCCAAAAAAATCTGACTATTTCAGTTTCCTGAAAAACCTATGTCCAGTATACTGGACGTTGCCAAGTTCATAAGAAAGTGACGCTCTCCAACCATGTCCAGTATACTTCCCGTTGTCGAAGAGACAGAAAAAAGAAACAAGTGGTTCCGTAATAAAATATTAATTATCATCATCATAATTTCAGCTTTATGACGTCCACTAATGAACATTGTCCTCCCCCAATGATTATCAGGTTGGCAAGTGGGCTAACAACCGGCCAATCTGATAGTCACTCTGTATCCTGCGCCTTCCTGCTACCTTTATGGGTTCATCTGTCCACCTTGTGAGTGGACCTCCTACGCAGCGGTTGTCGGCACGTTGCCTCCATACTAGAACCTTGCTGTAGCCATCAGCCATCAGTTCTGCGTGATGTGCGCCCTGCCCATTGCCACTTCAGCATGCTAATCCATAAGGCTATATCAGTGATTTTAGTTCTTTTACGGATCTTCTCATTAGATGTCGCACAGAAACACCAAGCACAGCCCTCTCCATGTCATGCTGTGATATAGAGAGGGCTTATTGTGAGAAGTAACCTTTCAGTAGGTACCATTATGTGATTACTGGGAACACACTTGGACCTGTTGCTGATTTCTTCTCCTGCACTTGGACCGCCATCAAGGTGGCGTTTTGTGCAAGCACTTCAGCACCAAGGGTCAATACGGAAGCTCTCTGGAAAGACTACAGCACTGCTCAAGCTTCAATCAAATCGAAAGCCTCCTCATAGTCCACGTACGCCAAGCGTTATGGCAAGTAATACTCTTTGGTCTTCTGTATAACCCTGCCGCAGTGTATGGATGAATTTAAAGTTCCTTATTATAGTTCCTATTAGTTAAGTTGAAAGAAGATAAACAAGTTTATAATATATTAAGAAAAGTAAAATACTGGTTAAACAAAATGATTCTACGACATGACTTTTTATTTAATAAACACTAACCAAGTGTTTACTACTTCTGGTGAGGATGAGTTCAAATTTGAAGGTCACCGTACTGCTGGAAGGACCAGCAAGCAAACACGTACAAATTGCGTACTGCGGGCAGGACTTGCGATAATCTTCTGGCAGGACGTTTAGAACAAAAGACCAGTCCTTCCAGAAGAGCTTCCAGCAGGACAAAGCACCGGGCGATCTATCATTAATGTTATTATAGGATGCACCCGACTTTAGAATATGCTAAGAAAATAGAGTAAGGTAGGTACAATGATGTAATTGAGCATTGTAAAAATATTTATTTGTCAGTCATTTGGTGTAGTGGTTTCGAAACGGACTACTATGCCGAGAGGTCCCGGGTTCGATCCCCGGCCTGGCAGAAATTGAATTGATACATTTTAATTTCTGTGATGGGTCTAGGTGTTACTATGTATAATTTGTACTTATGNTTTATTTTCTTTGGTTAGTGCTGTTGACCATGGCTACATGTTATCATCAAGTGAAAACTATTGTAAATTTCTCAAAAATGGATCAGTTATGGCTCAAGCTAAACGTGTAGGAAGTTTGTATTTAATGGAATTTAAGATTGAAAGTAACTCTGATCAAAATGACTGTAATGCTTTATTAAGTTTGTCCACATGGCACGAAAGACTAGCCCATCAAAATTTTAAACATGTCAAGGAAATATTAAATAAAAATAGTGTCAAATATGAAGGGCAGATTGATCAATGTCGGTCTTGTATACAGGGCAAGCAACATAGGTTGCCTTTCTTTAGCAGTGAGAGCCGTGCTGAGCGACCAGGAGACTTGGTGCATGCAGACTTATGTGGCCCGATGGAGACAAGATCTTTAGGTGGGTCTTCATATTTTTTATTATTAAAGGATGACTACAGTAACTACAGGTTTGTGTATTTTCTTAAAAGTAAGTATGAGACGAAAGAGAGAATATGTGAGTTTCTTGAGCAATTTGAAAATGAGTTTGAATGCAAGGTGAAAAAGTTTAGATCGGATGGTGGTGGGGAATTTAAAAACAGGGAGTTGGAAGGGGTGTTTAAAAGGAAAGGAATTTTGCATGAATGTACTGTGGCGTATACTCCAGAACAAAACGGTAGAATAGAAAGAGAGATGCGAACAATTGTAGAATCAGCTAGAACTATGATCATAAATGCGGATGTAAGCAAGGAGTTGTGGGCTGAGGCTGTGAGTAATGCTGTGTACACAATAAATAGGACAGGTTGCAGTAGCCAGAAAGGTAAAACACCATATGAACTAATTTATAAACGAAGTTTTGACATCAATACATTAAGATCTTTTGGAACTGAAGTATACACTCACATCCCCAAACAAAGAAGGCTAAAGTGGGATTCAAAAGCAAA